CACATTGGAGGGCTGCAGGCTGCAGTCTTTAGGGGCAACTGGACCCAGATCCTGAGGGGAGGGTTGAGGTAGAAGGTTCAGTGCACGGAGGGGTTTTGCTGAGGGCACAGAGGAAGGTTTCGTGGGATGGGGCGGTGGTCAGCAGTCGTTAGAAGTGCCAAGCGCTGTTGTGCAGGTTGTGCACTGTACGCCCTGGCACTGTTCACTCTGTGGTCCTGATGGATTCATATTTTATCGTGGCCGCTTTCTAACAGGTGGAGGGGTGGGCTTTTCTAATTGCCACGAAGGTGCCATGATTCCCATGAACACTGACCCAGGGCCCGGGGAGAGGGGGCGGTGGTCCCGTGTCCGGGGCTGTGGCGAGGAGTGCTCTGGGTGCCCACGGGGCTCAGCCCTGGCATGGAGGCGCCCAGCCCCTGGCTGTGGCCGCGGTGGTGGCTGCGCGTTCCTGCGTCTCCTGCGCCTTCTCCGCCTCCTCTTCCTCATCACCGCGGCCATCTCCTGGGGACACCGTCTTCCTGTGATGCTAGAACCACCTCTCAGGCAGACGGGCCACCTCAGCGCCCTGATCAAGCTCCTTCCTGGTCCCCTCTGAGCCCACAACCAGGCCCTGCCCTGGAGCCGCCTCTCCAGCCTGGCCCGCCCTCGGTCTCCCCCGGGAAAGCTCTTGCTGGTCCCCATCCTGGGGGAGCCTCAGCTGCCCCTCGGCCCCTGCAGCAGGGGCGGCCGTGGGGGGAGGTGACCGCGTGCCGTCTGGACATGGCCCTGCTCCCCTCCCCGTGGTGCCTGGTGTGGCCCCAGCCCGTGGTGGGTGAGCGGGCACCTCAGGCGGCCCCGTCCCTGGAGGAAGGGACCAGGTGGGGCCGAGAGAGAGAAAGGCTCCCCTGCGCAGGGGGACGGCAGCCGAGGCTGGACCGGACAGACGTCATCACGTTCACAGGCTCGTGGGAGCCCCTGGTCACGCTGGGCCCACAGCCGGTCCCCCTCAGCCCCACACCCAGGGGCGCAGTGGGCACCCCTGCAAAGAAGGCCGGGGACAGGCTGGAGCCCTGGCGGTTTGCCCGAGTTCCTTCTGTTCCTGAGGCCTGCTGTGCTGATGTCCGACTCTGCAACGCGAATTTGGAAAGTCGGGGTTCCCTTTGAGCAGGAAACCGCTGGCCTGTGGGTGTGAGCGCGGGACTGGGGGCCGGTTCCTGCCTTCTCCCACCCTCCTGGTGCCTCCTCCTCCGACTGTTTGGGGGGCTCACTTTTACTCTCGGCCCTGCGTCTCGGTCGCATTGTGACCTGACCCTCTGCTCTGTGCTCTGTCTTCCTTCTCTGACCGGGCACAGGTGGTGGGGGAGTCACGGAGGGGCCTGGACAGACGAGCCGGCCCACCAGCGGGACCCCAGGCACAGGGCGTCCTGACGCAGCTCCCTTCTGCTCTCTGCAATTTCTTGTGTGAACCTCATATCCCACTGAGTGAAAACATTTCTCAAAGACGTTTCTGATTAAAGACAAAACGAACTTACTCCTCCGTAAGCTTTGACCACGGGAAGCAACTGCAATTTTCTGTAGGTCCTTTTGAGTTTTGAGAAAAACTCTTTGACTGGATGGTTCTATTGTGGAGACCCATTTTGCGCATCCTGATGCTGATGGGCCTCACCGGGGTCACTGGGGCTTCCAGGGACCTGCTGATGGTGGTGAAGCATTTGTCCTCTGGGTCTCCTCCTGATAAGGTCCTGGGGGGGAGGGCACGAGGGCGCAGAGACCTTGGGGGAGGATGGGGCACAGAGACCCCCATGGGGTGGGGCGGCGGTGCAGAGATTCCCCGGGGAAGGAAGGCGCAGGGGTGCAGAGACCCCGGGGGAGGAGCTGGATGAGCTGGGGGACAGGAGGGGAGGGAGGGGCCTGGAGGACGGGCAGGTGGCCCGCGGCTGTGGGGAGGCGTCCAGCACCTGCCCTTTTCCACGTTTCTCTCTCTCGGAGCTGAGGCTTCCTTCCCTGAGACTTTCAACCAAACCAGTGTCCCCAGCAGCTGTCTCTTCTCTGCTCCTGCAGCCATGCTCCCGCCCTGTCATTGTCAGCCCTGCACCCCCAGCGTCCACCTCCCCTTGTCCTTCATGGCTGCCTCATGGCTGCCCCTCCATCCCGGGATCCGGGATTCTGTCTCCTCGGGCCCGTGGGGGGCGTGTTCTTGTTCAGGATTTATTCGTGGTGGTATTTCGTTTCACCAAGCCCAGGCATTGCCGTTTTCATGGGGGCAGGCTTCCCAGGGAGTGGGGCGTCCTGTCCTTATGGCTGGAGCAGAAAGGAGTGCGTGCGGAGGGCGGGAGTAATGAGAGGGGAGTAGAGAGACACAGAGAGTGAGTGACACAGAGACACAGAAAGGGAGAGACAGATAGGACAGAGAGGACACAGGAGCACCCTCGCGGGTGAGAAGGTTCGCGAAGCGGTGTCTGTGGGAGAGAGCCGTGTCTGGATTTGCAGCAGAGGCACGTGCCGAGTGGCTGCTGTGAAGACGGCGAGGTTGTGAGCTGCTCAGAGCAAATGGGACGCACCCCCGGGCTCAGTCAGCAGAGGCGCACCTGCCTTCTCCCTCGTTCTGGTCGATCCCCTGAAGGTGGGCTATTGGAAAAGAGCTGGCGAGGACTGTTTGCTAATAGCTCGTCATCAGCTGCAGTAAACTCGCTCCTCTTTTCATTTTTCCTGTTGGGGAGGGGGCGGGGAGGCAGTCTGTCGGGAGTGGCCCCTGGTCTGACGTAAACAGTGTGCTGCAGTCAGAACTGTGGGGCGCAGTGACACACCCCAGCGTTGCCTTAGAGAAATGGCCGCTCGGTCACCCCTGACCGTTGGATGTAAATCCAGACGTGAGGGGACCAGCCCCAGGGCTCGTTGGCTCCCGCTGGGCCCCACGTGGGGTCCTGAGCCAGCCCCTCATTAGGTGCTAGGTGCTGAGGCCCTCGGACCTCCCAGGGCAGGTGACAAGTTCTGGCACAGTCCTGGGCACGGGCCTCGGACGGACAGAGCTGGCCTGGCTCAGCCTGCTGCCTCCCACCCTTCCAGACCCCAACAGCGTGGAGGCCGGCTGGGCACGTGTGGGGGAGTGCACCCCCATCCCCCTGAGCGCGAGGAAGCAGAGGGCGCACTGGCCGCGCCCAGCCTCCCGGCTGCTGTCTGTGAGCCCCGCTGCAGCCTGCAGGCGGTCCCTGTGGTCTGGAGTCCACAGCCGAGGACACGGGCCCGGCGCCGCAGAGCCTGGTCTCGCTGGGACAGTCGGGCCAGAACAGGGACTGCACACGCTGGCTCCCAGCACCTCTGTCCACTCTTGCTTTTATTTTTATTTTTTTAAAAGATTGGCACCTGAGCTAACATCTGCTACCAGTCTTTTTTTTTCTTTTCCCCAAAGCCCCCCAGTACATAGTTGTATATTCTAGTTCTAGGTTCTTCTAGTTGTGGCACGTGGGACGCCGCCTCAGCATGGCCTGATGAGCAGTGCCGTGTCCGTGCCCAGAATCCAAACCCGTGAAACCCTGGGCCAGCGAGGCAGAGCACGCAAACTTAACCACTCGACCCCGGGGCTGGCCCCTGTGTGCATTCTTTCTGCTGCTTCTGAGGGGAAGGGGCCTTGGCCGTGTGTGTCCCGCCTGCTCCTGGTCAAGCACTCTGACGGAGCTCCCGTGGTCCTGAAGCTGGTCCTGAAGCGCAGGCTCTGAGAGGCACCGGGCCCTCCCATCCCTTGGGGCATTCTGCGTCCCCGCCCTTGGCTCTCCTAGCACATCTGCAGAGATGGGGCAAGATGCTGGAGGTGTCCCTGGAGGGAAGATGCCGGCCTGTCTCCATGATGCTGTAACACCGGGGAGTGACCTGGGGAGCTGAGTCGCCGCCCGGCCTCTGAAGCCCTTCTGGGACGTGGAGCCGCTCGGCCTCCAGACGCCGCCCGCGAACGCTCCTGCTGCTTGGATGGAGTGTGTCATCTTTTGTTTAAAACCACAACCCGAGGGCTGGATGAGATCCTTCATTAGGATGCTTAAATTGGAAGATGACAGCAGCGGTCGCGCAGCCCACTGCCGGGCTGGGATTATGTCATGCTTCTCGTGGGAGGAGGAGAGCCGTGAAAGCCAGCCTTGTGCTGTGTCCTGGGGTCAGTCCTGGGCAGAGGGCTCCAGTGCCGCCCCGGCCCGAAGATGCTGTCTGCAGACCCGGAGGCGGTGCCACCAGGAGAGGCGCACAGAGGGACCGGCTTCTGCACCCGCCTGGCTTCAGAGGAGGGAGGGTTTTCTGGTGTTGCCTGAGGGTCCCAGGGGCGCAGACACGTCTGTGGTGGGTGAGCAGGCCGCGGCGGGGGAAGTGCACGCGTGCGTGCAGAGTGTGTCACACGGACACACACCTGTGGTCCCCATGCGTTTGTGCCGCAGCTTCCTAGAAAGGTACCTTCCAGGAACGCGGTTTCCCGAGGTTGCCGATTTTGGAGGCAAACAGTCTCAGAGCGTGATACACTCTGCCCGACATTCGTGCCTGATCAGGGGCGCGGGCCGTGGTGCGAGGCACGGGGTCCAGTCCCAGCTCTGCCACCGGTGGAGCGAGCCCTGAGCTGGCCTGGAGCCCCCGTCGCTTCCTTGTCTGTCAGGCGGGACTCGCTTGCATGTGGATCAGCTAACAGAACCGCCCGGCTCACAGCAGGCGCCCTCAGTGGCCGTGGGTATTTAATAGGGTCGGGCGACAGAGCAGACAAACCTCCAACCAATTCTTATATCTTGTCCTGATATTGTCAGTGGGAGAGCGAGAAGTCAGTTTGGCTCTTTTTATGCATTTTAAGTACAAACAAATAGGATTAATGAGATTCGTACACTGTGGTTTAAAAGGAGGTTTGAAGATGAGTGAATGATGCCATTGAGCTGACAATTCTGTTTAGAGACAAAGGGCCCTGTGGCTGTCAGGTCAGCACGCCAGTGCGTCTGAGCTCGCTTGGAACAAACTCCAGGCCGGCGTGCGCCCAGCGGCGTCTGCTGGCAGGAGGGACGCCTTTTCTGGGCTATGCCTCCAGGCCAGCTGCCCGCAGGCAGGACGTGGTCATCCCAAGTGAGCGCAGAGAGGACCCCAGGACCCCACTGGCTGCTCTGGGTCTGCCCCTTGCTGCCCCTCGCATCTTCAGCTGCTGGGAGAATGCAGAGTCCGCCCGCTGGTCATTGTGAGCGTTCGGAGTCGTGGGAATGCCCTGCTCACCTCTCGAGATGGCCGTCAGGACCCGCTTCCTTCCTTCTCTTCGCTTCCTCGCAGGACCGTTGACTCCATTGTCTTCTCTTTTTCCTGCGGATGTGTCGTCTCCCCTGTTCCCCGCGGTGCCTATGGGGGTCTCGGCACACGGGGAGGGCCAGACAGCGCTGAGACCGGCCGGAAGATGCCTGCCAGCCGCGGCGACGTTTCCTTCTCTGGCGTCGGCTGAAACGTCCAGCGTTGTTGACACGTGAAGTGTATTTGTGGACGTGTCCTTGCTGGCCTGGCTCCAGGTGAGACGGACGTCAGCGCCCGTGGGCGTGTAAATGGGCGCTTGGGCTTGTGGAGTCCCTTCCTCGGGAGACGAGGAGCAGGAAGCCTCTCCTTCCGTGGGCTGCTGAGGCCCCGGGGCTCCTCTGGAGGCTCGTATTCGTCCTTCCTGCCCACGCCCCACAGCCCAGCTGCCCTGGGAGGAGCGGGAGAAGCAGGCCCTCCTGTGTCTGCATGACTGCGGTCCACGGCCTGCCCAGCACAGTCTGTGCATGTGCGTGTGCACATGCGTGTGGGTGTGCACGAGCTCCTCGACCGTGACTTCTTCAGACCAGAGTGTGCGTGTTCCTTCACAGGGAGGACCTACAGCTCTGGGGCACGGTAGACGTCGGCTGCATGTTTGTTGACTGAGATGGAAGCATGGTTCCTGTTTCGATGTTGGCCCCATGGAGCGGGGTCCCTCCTCCTATCCGCTCGGGTCGCTGAGCGCTGGCTGCCTGCTCACCCGGTGGCGCCTTCTCTTTGCAGCTCGCTGCACCCACGTCGTGTGCCCCGCCGACTGCTGTAGTCTGGGTGCGTCGGCCTTAACTTGTGTGGGGGTGAGGACCAGCGCGTCACCCTCTGACCCCACTGGGTGTCTGTCTCCGACATCTCTGGAGCGCGGGCTGGGGTGGCGATGCGGTGACCGTGACCACACCACAGTGACGGCTCCTGCTGCCCCTGAGCGTTCGCTCTCTGTGAGGTCTGTTCTGGTCACCTGTGCTCAGACGGGTCCTGGGGCAGGGAACGGGGCGCAGACACGGAATGGGCTGGGTCTCCAGCCGGCCGCAGAGGAGATGCCAAGCCCAGGTGCACGTCTGGCGTTGGGGCCTCAGCCTCTCCAAGACAGCGGCCCAGGGGGCTCAGCCGGGTGGGTTTCTTAAGGCCTCCAACTGCTAGTTTCTTCCCTTTTTTTTAGAATTTTAAAAATATTTATTTTGAATTTAGAAAAAAAGCAGCCTATTATCCTGCCGCTTAGATAATTCTTTTTTTTTTTTAAGTAATTTTATTGGGATTATGATGGTTTGTAACATTGTGTAGTTTCAGATGTACATTATTATTTATCAGTTTCTGAACACTTCATCGTGCTCACCACCAGCAGTCTAATTTTTATCCATCACTGTACATATGTGCCCCTTTGCCCCTTTCACCCCCCACCCCCTTCCCCTCTGGAAACCACTAAACTCTTCTCTTTGTCCATGTGTTTGTTTACCTTCCACACATGAGTGAAATCATGCAGTGTTTGTCTTTCTCTATCTGGCTTCTTTCACTTAACATCATACCCTCCAGTTCCATCCATGTTCTTTCAAATGGCACAATTTTGTCTTTTTTATGGCTGAGTAGTATTCCATTGTATATACGTACCACATCTTCTTTATCCATTCATCAGTTGATGGCACTTGGGTTCCTTCCACATCTTGGCTATTGTGCATAGTGCTACCAAGCCCTGGTTCTTCATTTGAAAATGAGGATTGCTTGGCTCCCAGGCTTGTGATGGAGCTGCGGGGTTGTGACGGGGACCCCGGGATCTTGATGGGGATGCTGGGGTTGTGACCGGGATGCGGGGTCGTGATGGGGATGACGATGTGAGCAGATGAGTCAGGATGTGAGGGGTGAGGCAGCGCAGTGCACGGCGGGCCTGGGGCACCGCGGCTGCTCCCCAGCAAATTCTCAGGACGTTGTGGGCTGTTTGTGCGTATGGCGTTGGTGAAGTGATGTCAGTGCGAAAGAGGACAAGGTGCTCAAGGCTGGGGGCCAGGTGAGGGGCCCAGTGCGAGGAGTGGAAAGTTCTGTACTGACAGGTGCCCCGAGATTGCTGACCGAGAGCCGCTCTGTCTGGGAGGGTGTGTCCGCACAGCCTGGCCAGCTCGTCTGAGCCTGAGCGGCGCTTGCTCCTCCCTGTGAGCGCCTGAGTGCACGTCCTTCTGTGATCAGGGTAGAGGGACTCGCGGGGTGGCTGGTGAGGGTAGGAAGGGGACACTGGCACGCCGGCTCCGGGCCAGGGGGCCTGTGGAGGACGAGGGCTGGGGTCCTGGTCTCCCCACCGTACTTCTCTGCTTTCCCGTGGCCTCTCGGAGCCTGAAATGCTCCAGGCATGAGGGCCTTCCCGGGACCTCGTTGGGACCACTGGGGAACCGGGGGCTGCTTCTGCAAAGTGGATCATTCTGTCGAGGTGGGCGGGCGTCTGATGGGGGGACCCTCGAAACAGACGTGGCCAGCAGGACTGACCTCCTCGTGATTTAGCTGCTAGCCCGCTGATTCTCAGACTCTGTCTTTGTGGTAACATGTAAGGAGCAAGAACTACAGGAAAGAGAGAAAGAAAATAAGAGCAGGCGTGCACAGATCCGGCCTGGACCCCAGAGTTTGTGACACACTCACGGTGACGGGCTTCAGGACACGTGGGCCTCATCCTCAGTCCTGGCTGATGAATTCTTCATGCGAAACTGCTTCAGTGGGAGGAAGGGGAGGCAGGAAATGTGTGAAACAAGGCAGAGAGGGTAGAGGGGGCCTGGGGCCGGGAAGGTCCGGCCGGTGAATCCCAGTTGCGAGAATAACCTGCGGCTGCATCTCGAGGTGAAGCCGTGGGACGCTCTGCTGTTTTCTCTGGTGTTATTTTGTGGGGATTTACAAGTCCAAGTCCTTGTGACCAACAAGTGCATGGAAATGAGCCTCCTCCGTGTCTCGGGGGTCTCAGAGCGCCGGGGGGCGTTTAGGGACGTGCTCTGCCTGAGCCCTGACCACAGTATCCTCCTTCTTGCAGGGTCCCAGGAGCGAAGCCTCAGCATCTGCAGCATGGACCAGCGAGGGCCGCCTGCCCCCGCTCCGGAAGGTGAGGGGACTGCGCTTCAGGGCAGGTGGCCGAGGGGTCTCGGTGCACTGGGGCTCTTAGGAGACTCCGTACCCTGGGAATCACGCAATTGCTGGGCTGTGATGTGGGCGGGAGCTCCTCGGGAGGAAGGGGGCTCTGACACAGGCACTGAGGGCCTGGGTCTGGAGCCCCCACCCAGCGCCCGTCCTCGCCTGGGGGCTCCTGGCTGAGCTGTCCCCTGCCGCCCCCAGCTGGGCGCCCCTGAAGTGCGCACACCACCGCCAGAGTCCCATGAGGTTTACCTCAGCCCCATCCTTTGGAGCCCTGACTGGGGTGGGTGACAAAGTGTGGAGGACCCGCTGTTTCCAGCCTGAATTTAGGCTGAGCCCCAGCTGGCCTGACATCGGTGCCCTGCGGCCCCTCAGGCCCCTACAAGTCGAGCTGCAGGGCAGTTTCCATCTCTGCTCCCTCTGCTGTCGGCTTGCTCAGGGCAAACACGGACCCTCCTTGTCAGCTGCTCTGTGAGCTAAGTCACTATGAGCCCCAAGCGGGACCACATGCACCGGCCCCTGGAAAGTGGCGCTGGGTGTGTGGTCAGCACCAAGCTCCTCACAGCAGGGCCTGCCTCGGTGTCTGTGGCTGCCCGAGGCAGATGGGCCGCGGTCCCCTGCAGGCCCAGAGGCTCTGGAAGGAGGGGCCTGGTCCTGTGGTGATGAAGGCACAGAAGCCTGGAATGAACCCTTGGGGGCTCCGAGGCCTCACATCCTGTCTCTGCAAGCGAGGGCCCATGAAGAGTCCGCCCTGAGTGGGTCCTCCCTGTTCTGTTCCCTCTTTTGTTCCCTGCCCTGTGCACCGAGTGGTGCTCTTGGCCCTCGGAGGTGGTATGTGGGACAGAAAGAAGGCGGCCGGCAGGGACAGTGGTTCCTCATGGGTGTCCGGGGTGGGGGACACCGTCTCCTCCTGGGACGTGAGTCCCTGGGGATGCTGGATTGTACAGTGTGGGCCCCACGGTGAGGGCCCGATCCAGGAGGAGGCAGGGACGCTGGCGCATGTTGAGAAGGGTCACCTGCACGTCATGGGCGAGAGTCTGTGGTGTGAAATAAGGACACAAATGCCCACCCTCTCCTGGGGCCCTTTACCCAGGTGAGCGTGGTGCACTACACTGACCCCAGGGTCATGGCCAGGGCTCTGTGTCCGCTCTGCTTCTGTGGGCACCTCCTGGCCGCTTGGCTCACCTCCCGGGGCTGCGGCCTGTGGGGAGTGGCCGGAGGGTCCTGGGGCGTGTTCTCCTGCAGGTTCGTCCATGTGGTTGAGGCGCCAGCTTCTCGGGTCCTCCAGGCTCAATCCCCCTTTGATTAAGTGAACATGAGACGGAGACCAACACCACTGACCGCTCTCCATCCCCATCAAACGGGGGGACGCCCGAGCGACCCCTGGGGAACATGTCCTCCTGTGACCTCACCAGGTGGCGTGACTTCCCCAAACCACAGCTCTGTGCTCGGGACCCACCTTCCCGCTAGAGAGGCACTCACGCCCCAGTGCACCCTAAGAAGCTGCGGGTGAAGGCCAGACGTGCTGTCGGGGCGGCCGGCGCGGAGACGGTGCTGAAGGTCTGTGTTAAGACGCCTCCGTGCCGTCGCCTCCGTGTAGTGCCTGCGAGGCGAGAGCTTGGTGGCTCTCGACATGAGGAGATGCTCCCTGCTCTGAAGCCGGCGGGCTGGGGACGGAGCCTACTGTCCACCTGACGGGCCCGGGGCGGTGACAGAGGATGCCATGAGGACGACGGACTGGCGCTCCGGGTGTGGGCTCTGCTGGAGCCAGCTGTCTTCCAGGGCTCCCTCCTGCCCTCTTCTTTTCGGGCATTTCACTGACAGCAGCAGTCAGCTATAATATTTTCCTGTTTTGGGTGGTCGGGGCACCAGTCACGTGACCTTACAGGGTCCTTCATCAACCCCCCCACCATGGACACACAGAGGACAGGGCGGCCGTGGTGCCCTGAGCGCCAGGAGGCCACTAGGAGCATTGGGGAAAAATTAAAAACTAGAAGGAGGGGCCCAGAAGACCTTTCTGCGCCTGAGTTCTAGGACTGTGGGTGACGCACGAGTGTTGACAGTCTGATGGCAGAGGCGAGCTTCTCCCGCCGTGCTTTGTCTGCTCTCAGAGGCGACTCACCCGCTGTTCTTTGTTAAACGTGTCCTGGCGTCTGATGGCCGAGTCCGGTGCTGCCCGCTGCGCGTCCCCCGGTGTCTCGGCCGTCGCTCTGACACCACCTGGATCCGCAAAAGCACCCGTGCCCCACAGCCCTCGCTGGCAGACGCGCCTCCATGCTCGGTCTCGGGAAGGAGAGTGGGGGCCAGGTGGCACTGTGTCTTGGGGTGTGCTCCTGGGCCCCGAGGGAGAGGCCTTGGGAGTGGGGGTCACCGCGGGCGCCCAGGGCGCCAGGAGTCCGCGCAGCCCCGTGTGAGGGTCTGCCCAGCAGGAGGAGGGCGTCCGAGGTCTCGAGTGCGGTGTTGGGACTGTGTTTAGTGATAAGTGCTGTCTACCTGGAGTTCACTAAGAGGAGGATGTTATGCGTTCTCACCCCAGAAGCAGAGAAGGAAGACAGAGGTAGCCCTGTGGGGGCGGTGTCACCTCTCCAGTTGTGGCGGTCACTTCACAGTGTGCGCGTGGACCAGATCGTCGAGTCTGCACCTTAAGTACACATGACTCTTTCTGTCTGTCACTCATGCCTCCATGCAGATGGAAAGGAGAACAGGCGCAGAGGATGAAGGGTCCCTCGGAGACGGGGCTGGGGGGTTGCTGGGGGTCCAGCAGAGTTCTTCGCATGTCCCAGCACGCGAGCCCCATCCTCACCCCCATGGGTCCACGTCCCCGCCATCCGCCCGTTACTCCTCTGACACCCGGTGCTGATCTGGCCTCCGGCTGCGCTTGGATTCTCAGACAGATCTGACCAGCAAGGCCAGTCGCTGTTGGGGTGCAGCTGGTCTCGCGAGGCCGTCTGTGGGCCAGGTGCCGTGGCCCAGTCGCCAGCAGCGCCGTCCTGGCTGTGACCTGACCCTGGGCACAGGAACGTGGAGTCCCCCGCGTGGACCACTGCTCTGTTTCCTGGAACTGTCCTCTGGGGAACCCGGGAGGGTCTCGGCAGCTCTGGGGCCTTGAGGGGCCACTGCGGGCTGTCCTCGCGAGACAAGAACAGTCATTGTGTCCTTGGCAGGTGGCTCTTCCTGGCTGGTGGCCGTGGCGTGGCATTTGACTTGGATTGAAGACCACGATTCAAAAACCCTAAGACCGTAGTTAAAAAATTGCAAGGCCAAACTTGTGTGATTTTCTAGGTAATTAACTTTTGTGACCATTAGTGATGGGGATGAGGGCCTGGCATCATCTTGGATGATTCAGTCGTATTTTAATTATAATCTCCCCCGTCACTAAACTGAAACGATTCCCTTACAAACGCCCTGAGCACGGCGCAGCAGCGAATCACCCAGGCCGTCCTCGGCGCCTCGGGACGCAGTCGGGGCTCGTGTCCCACCATCACCGCGCTCGTCTTTTCCTCATAGTTCTTTTCTGCATAATCGGAGACTTGAATATACATTTTTTTAAATTGTTGAGCATACATTTTGATGCCGTGGTGCTGAATTTTTATAAGTATTTTCTACGTCACCACCTAGTGTCCGCAGCTGTCCTTCTTGGTGACTGCGTGATTTCTCTCCTCCGTGCCGTCACATGTTCTGGTGGGATAACTGTCCTGTGTTTGTTCCTGGCCTTTCATCAGGGGCCTCTGCCTTTCCAGAAGCTTCCTTGGCAGCAGGTCAGATGGTCCCCAGGTCAGGCGGGATCAGGGAGGCCGGTCGTGCAGCAGAGAAGCCTGCGGGCTCCGTGGCCTGGCTGCTCAGCTTTGCGTGTTGACCCGTGGTCCCTGAGAGCTGGCCAGGCACAGGTGTGTGAGCTCCCAGGCCTTGGCCTCCGTCATCTGTGCAAGTAACAGGACTGGAGTAGCCTGGACCTCAGGAGCTTGTGCGAGGACTGACGGGCTACCCTCGCGGCGGGCCTGGAGGCACTCAGCGAGACAATTTGGACGATGCTCCGGGACATGAAAATAACATTGGAAGATGCTCCGGGATATTTCAGAATGCGAAACTCAACTGTTTTATGATTTTTTTTTTTTGAGGAAGATTAGCCCTGAGCTAACATCTGCTGCCAACCCTCCTCTTTTTGCTGAGGAAGACTGGCCCTGAGCTAACATCCGTGCCCATCTTCCTCTACTTTATATGTGGGACGCCTCCCACACGGCATGGCTTAGAGAAGTGGTGCCATGTCGGCACCCGGGATCCGAACCGGCGAACCCTGGGCCGCCGAAGTGCAACATGTGCACTTAACCGCTGTGCCACCAGGCCGGCCCCATCCGTTTTATGATTTCCAAGTCACACCACCAGCTATAGCCTTTCCATAATTAATGGCCAAATTCCAAGGTGAGTTGTGTTGGGGAACAGAATCAATCCTCCTGTCACGTTAACGTCAGTTCACCAACAGTCGGTCACCAAATGCTCGCTGACCGTGTGGTGAGCGCAGACCAGCGCCGAGAGCTGTGGACCCGCCCAGGCGGTGTGCGGGGCCGACGGGGAGGCGGCCTCTGAGGGGCATTGTTCTGGGGACCCACTGTTGAGCACGTGCAGCTGCAGCCGCGGTGACATCCAGAGCCAAGGAGGCTGCGGCCTGAATGGCCCCTTGTTGAAGGAGTGGTTTGCAGCCGGCTGCTTCTTAAAGCACTTTCTCTTCTTCTTTTAACAATACAAAGAGTTAAAAAGCAAGTTGCCTTCGTTTGAAATAAGAGCAGCAGCATCTCTTGGATTAAGCTTTCACGTCATAATCAAATATGGGTTTACAAGCCCCAGGAGAAAGAATGTGTAGCTTTTATCTCTGAACTTAAAAATAAATATTCATCTACTTTTTTTCTTGATGCGTTGATCTGTGGCACGTCTTTAAAACAGCAGTTAAGTGCACACCTTCTGCTTCAGCGGCCC